TTCTTGAGTGATGACCACGTACGGGTAAACGCAGTGTAGGACGACCCCCCACTAGATGGAGTGACGACCTGAAATGCGTTGCAGGGAGTCAGTGGATGCAGGTGGCTCAGGACCGTTCTTTATGGCAGTCTATGGGGGAGGCTTATGTCCAGCAGTGGACGGATAATGGCTGAAATGATGATGAATGTTATGTTATGATGGTGCAATGTTAATTTGTTTAAAAATTTGGTCAATATTTTCTGTGTATATTTTTTTTTCATTCAAATCATTGTGTATTGTTTATTATTTTCCGCTGTAGTTCTGCAAATTTATTTCCGTAATATTTTTTTGAAATAAAATTTTTAAATTCCTGTTAACGTTATTTTTTTTTTACATAAAAGTGCCCAATATAGGTTTTATCGTTATCATGTCCATGCATTTTTGTACAAAGTTTTTTTTATTTCCCTAGTCTGTTTTTATGGCATTTTGCATTCTTTCTCAATCCGTCATCACACGGAAAAAACTTTTACCAGAGGGAGACTTTATACAAAAGTCGTTTGCTTAGGCACCTCTGTGCCTTTCGTGTTTCTATCGTGAAGCAGTTGTATTTGCATGGCTATTTTTTTGGTTTGAAGGGTGTGATATGGTAGTTACCTCTATAGGCGACGGTTACCACTTTCCATCAGGTGGGTCGTCAGCTTGTTTGCCAAAATTGTGACAAAATTGTCTATCGTGCGACCTACTTATTTGATTAATATTATTAAAAGCTAAATTTTTAGAAAGTTTTTGATGTTTAGATCATCTGTCTTTCCTGTATATATAAAGTCGTAGTTCCACAACAACGTGTTTGGATAACAGGTCGACCTCCCTGTGGTCCCCCTGGAAGTCATCGTGATGAGTTCCAGGTGTAGTCATCACGATGGCTAACTAGTATTTCATTAGTATTATTGCCGCAGATAGATAGTAACTATTCCATTAAATCCGTTAAAAAAATTTGACAAGTGATCACGCTGTCACTACGTACCTTCTTTTTTTGATACAACATAGAATGGCAAACAAGCTGACGGTCCACCTGATGGAAATTGGTAACCGTCGGCTATAAACATGAGCAGTACCATGGACATAAACAGAGTATACTGTTTCGCCCATGATACCCCCCATGTGTTGCCGTTCCTGAGGACTCGGATATTATTCCTTTGTACCCTGTTAAGTACAGAGGAATAACGCCATATCCCACCCTTCAAACCGAAACACAGCTATGCAAACACAACTGCTTCACGGTAGATACACGAATGGGACAGAGGTACTCAAGCAATCAACTTTTGTACAAAGTCTCCCTCTGGTTAGAGGAAGCTCAAATTATTTTAGCAAAAATGTTTAGATTTATTGGTAAAATAAAAAGGAATTATAAGCTTAAATTGAAAAAAAAAATCTTAATTGATAAATGCTATTAAATTATTCAAATTATGTAAATTTTTAAATAATAAAATTTGACAAGATGAATATTTATTTATACTTATTAACATTATTACATTATGACTACGTTCTTTTATTCTTGTCTGACATTCTTGTTTCTTTTAAGATGTATTTAAAATATGTTTTACAAATTAAAATCTTGAATTTAGCATTTCAATTTAACTCTAACAACATAGCACGGTGTGCCCGCAACTTTATTATGTTATCGCTGTGTATAAATAGAACAAACTTGGTTATAAAATATAGAATTTTGATTAAAACATAACATTAAACGGATTGCGGCGTATTTACGACCTAAGGGACTCGGTGGTTACGCTAAATTATTATGTCGATGCATGTAAATTGTAACAGTGAACATTTTATTAGCGGATCCTCCAGCGAGAAGGTTTACGATGTAAGCGCCTTTGTTTTAATAAATAAATCATTACGTACGTTATTTGTGTTTCGTCTCTGTTTTTCTTTACGTACGGAATTGGCAACGATATTGCTGGGTGTGTGACAGCCCTATTTTACGTCTTCTCACTTGACATATTTAATAAACAGTCCTCAGAGCGTCTTTTTTACTAGAAACTCTGTGCCATTACATAAAATTGACAAGTCGACAAAATATGACGGATTTTTTCTTGGAATAATGTTTGGTTTGGAATATTAAATATATTTTTAGATGACTGCTAAAGGCTAAAGAATTAAGAAACTCATTTCATTTGTCAAAAGTATTTTTTGTGGTTACTCTAATTTCGGACCGATTTTTATTTATATTTTAATTTCGCATTTTGAGTGGCAAACGGTTAATACTAGGCTCCGAGCAGCAATCTTAGAATTTGCCTGAAGATGCCCCGTTTAGAAGTTAAGCACGTTTTGCAAAACGTGCGTGAACAAAATGGCAGTCGGAGATTGATAATAATAGTGGTGGCCAATTTTCGAATGTTGGCAGTCACACGTATACTAATGGTAGCGGAATTAAACAAAATAATTCTAATCAAATAACAAAAAAAAAATAATAATAAAAAAAAAATCGAAAAATAAAAAAGACATAATAATGTCACTACATGGGCATCCGCTAGATAACATTCACGCTCACTTTTTTACTTTATCCAAGCAGTAAGTGCTTTATATTATTCTCAATTTCGTGTATAATATAGTATATGTCATATATGTGTAAGTATATTTGTTATTCATATATATTTATTCGTTTATATATGTAATTTTAGTATGTATATATATCAATAATTACTAGTAACGCATTCAAGTATTCTGACACTTCCCTACGGTTGACTGAGAGAGAATGCTTTTAGCATTAAGTCCGCCATGTACACATATATGTACTAACGAATAAATAAATAAATAAATAACATCTACTCGTAGGTCAGTAAAAATGTTTAAATTATTTTTTATAACTCTATAGAGATTAATCCTCTAATGATGTGGTAAATGAATGGCCATTATTGCTAAACAAAAAAATGTTGATTTCCATGCAAATGTTTGCATTATGCGGGAATTGAATCTGCGAACTTCAGAAGGTAAAGCGGTGTATAGAACGGTGGCACTATCAAGTTCGTTGGTAATTTATTGAAATGTTCTTGTACTTTTACTTTTAATATATATATATATATTGGTTATAACGAAAATATGCACATGCAAATATACATATGAACTTATTCCTTGAAAGGATTTCTTTTTACATATATACAGGTTGTAAGGAACAGGTTGGCCAATATATATTTTGTATAAATATATATTATGCTCAATTAAGTATAATTCGGTTTGAAGTCCAACACAAATTCAAATCCGTACTGACATTAATTGTCATTTGTTAATCAAACGAACACATTTGATCATTTTAAATGAAACAGCAAAGGGATCCAGAACTGTACAGTTATTTTATACATACATACATATCTGTCACGCCTGTCTCCCATTAGGGTAGGCAGAAACAATGGAACGCCAAATGCTTCGATTCAAACAAACCTCTTTCGCTTCTTCCATATACATCAATCTTTTCATATACGCTCGCCGGTTACGGGTACTTTTAATTTGGCCCTTCTTCAGCACGTCGCCAGTTACAGTTATTTTATATTAGTACAAAATACATACGAGTACAATGGTTATTAATTATTACCGCAGCTTTTGATAAATGGTAAATAAATTAAACGCTTGATTATAATTTTATAATTAACTGCATGTTCTTTTGTAGTTTTTCAATTTGTACGAATTTGTTGCTGACAGGATATATCTATTTATACCTTCATTAATATTAATAATTTATTTATTTATATTTAGTCTTCACTAATTATATAATTGTTACTTAGTATATATTAACACTTATCTGTTAAAGCTGTATACGCCTCTAATTGATATGTTCATCTAGTCTTAAGCTTAGAAAGAAAGAAAGAAACGTTTTTGTTCAAGTAAACTTAGATTTAAGCATTTTTAAAGTAATTTTTCATTACATATTTACTTATAACATTGTATTTATTTATTTTATTTAATACTTTATTGTACACATTAGTTATAAAAATATGACAGAGGTAAACAAAAGTACAAAGGCGAGCTTAACTCTGATAGAGTTTTCTTCTAGCAAAACCAAAGTGGAAAGGAGCATCAATGTCAGCGGATACAGCAGTGTACAATAGTTGTATATAGTCTATTTAATTATTGTGAACATATTGTTTGTATATCTTTTATAAATAAATAAATAAATAATTTGATATCTGTGTATTTTTTAATGAAGTGAAAATAGAATGCCTTTCTTGCCAGCGCTATCGGTATTATTGTCCTATCAGTGATGCACCAGTGAGAGATGATAGGTGAGGATGAAAGCAGATAAATTGGCCCATCGTGAAGGAGTTCCACCAGAATCAATCACGATGGGATCTAGGGGAAACCGGTGGAAATCGACCTGACAGGAAATGTTGCTAGCAATGTGCCTTTGAGATTCCATCACTAACGATCCCTTTATATTATTCCCGTTTAGTTTCATCATCATCATACCGGCCTTTAACTGTCTTTCCTTAGTCGTCTCCCTTAATCCCTATTTAAACGTAATGTTTATATTTTAAGTCAAATAAACTAAACGGGCTCAGTGGTCAATTAAAGCCAATTATATATATAAGGATTATCCCTAAAATAGGTTTGGAATTGATATAGCGTAATTTGCCGTTAAGCAAATGTGCTAACGTCATATTTTTACGTACGTGCCATTTTTTTAGATTGTAAAAAGAAATACACGTATTGCAAAGATATTAAATAAACACAATATGTTTGGATGTCTCTGAAGGTGACATGGTGTCAAGTGCCATACTTATGGTGTCTTCGCTTTGTCTTTTTGTCGGATTTTAACGGAACAATTAGACAATCATCTCAAAACTATACTAGGTTAAAATAATAATTATAAATTCTGTATTATATTATATATATATATATATATATATATATATATATATATATATATATATATATATATATATATATATATATATATATATATATATATATATATATATATATATATATATATATATATATATATATATACATATATATATATATTGTTAGCGGTATCCCCTACTCGAGTCTCCCCACCGCTCGTCGCAACTATAAAAATGGACGAAAACCAACGGATCGGCCATTTTGTTGTCAGACGCGCGCTCGAACACATCTCTGAATATATTAATGTCGTACCTTTATCAAATTATTGTTAGACTGAGATCTTGTATAAATTATTCTATTTAATTATACGAATTATTTTGGTGTTTGTTATATTTTTTATTTAAAATAAGATTTATTGCTAAAATCAGAAGTGGGATTCGAGGCCGTTCAAGCCGCGAACGCCATTTTTGGTTGTAACAATATGTCGAGTAGACGACGCCCACCACCACCACAAGAGCGCGCGTCTCCGCCAGTTTCCGAACCAAATTTAGGAAACCTAGCTGCAACAGTGGATGCAGTCCTCGGTCGTCTGGCAACCCTGGAGCAGCGAGCCAGTAGTCCTGTTATCGCAGGATTACGCCCAGCAATAACTTCTGTGGGGGACGCGGGAGCTGAAACAGCATCCGCTTCCGCTACGCCAGCGCCACCTACAGCAACCATCGTGCAGCGTAGCGATGACAGTATCGCAAGTGCCACTGGCTCCGTGTCAACGGACATCACGGAGCGTCTCATTGACGCTCTCAATGCCATTAATCCGGTGAGATCCACACATTACTATATATCTGATTTCGATCCGAGTATTCGCGATGTTGACGAATGGTGTGATGAGGTGGATCGAGCTCGTTCGCTGAACCAATGGGACGATCGGCAGTGCCTCGCTCGTGTAGGTTTATCATTAAAGGGTGAGGCTAGGTCATGGCTATGCGAATGGACTAGCAATGATCGCACTTGGTCAAATTTTAAATTAGAACTGAAATCATTGTGCCCACGACGCGTCGATATTGCAAATATACTTTTCGATGTAATGTGCAAAAACTCGGATAACTACCCTACATATGCAGATTATGCTCGTAGATCTTTGTTGCGATTACGTATAGTAAATGGATTGAGTGAAGAACTTTTATGCGCAATAATCGTTAGAGGAGTGAAAGACCCCCAGATACGTGCTGCCGCAATAAATGCAAAGTTAAATCCAGGGAACGTAGTTGAATTCTTATCTATCTATACAAAACCAAATCGCATAAATACCCACAACACTTCCCAGATACGTAATCATAGATCAGTTAATGCCTCATTCACTAATCGAGATCATAAACGATCCATTGTAGATACTGATAAGCAATTTAGGTGTTATAATTGTAATTTGATCGGTCACAAAAGTCAATTCTGTCCAAAGCGATCTAAAATCGATACCCCAGATTCAAATAAAAATGTCTTAGTACCCGCAGATTCACACAATTCGATGAAATCCGCTCAGATTTAGTTTACATGTACATTTTGTAAAAAAAAAAAAAATACTTAATACATTTAATTTTATATAAATAAATTTAGGTCATTCCGCAGATAATTGCTTTGCAAGGGAACGTTCTGAGTCACGTAATGAAGCTAATGTAAATTTTTGCAGTGAGCTAATAAATAATCGTAAAAAAGGGGCCATCATAACGGCAGTAATACACGGGGTACCCACAGATATTTTAATTGACAGCGGATCGAGCGTTTCTTTAATTTCAAATGACCTAGTTAAACATTTTCATGTCTTAGGTACCCTAGTGTTCAGATATTACGCGGTTTAGGCGGTGTAGAAATGCGCTCTGATTATTTCACTACATTACCGGTAGAATTTAGTGACGTCACATTAGAAGTAGATTTTTATATAGTACCCCACGATTATCTTAGTACGCCGGTACTTATTGGTACGGATGTATTGAATAGAGAGGGTATTGCTTATATCCGAACGGGCGACAGTCTGCGTGTAATTAGAAACTATTCCTCAGTAAACAATATTATACATAGTGAGTCGACAGTGCAACTCGATTCGATTTATACACCATTATGTAAAAATGATAGTTAAATTGTTGTCCGTGTTGAACAAATACTCGAAATACTTTCTCAGTGGTACCGCGACAACTACTGTCAATACCGGAGAAATGCACATTCGACTCGCTAGTAACGAACCCATTAATTATCGACCGTATAAATTATCATATGAATAAAAATTATGCGTGCGTAATATCATTAGTGACCTGAAAGATAAAGGAATAGTTCGTGATTCAGAATCTTCGTACGCCAGTCCAATTTTATTAGTAAAAAAGAAAGACGGTACCGACAGAATGGTTGTAGATTATCGCGGTTTGAATAATGTCACGGTAAAAAATAGATACCCACTTCCTTTAATTGAGGACCATATTGACAGACTTGGAAAATGTAATAAAGAAAAGTGACAGTTTCTCATCAAATCAAAATTAATGAGGACTCAATGCACTTGACTGCATTCGTAACGCTGGAAGGGCATTATGAATACGTCAAAATGCCCTAATCTAACTCGCTAATGCGCCAGTTGTCTATCAACGAATCATATCCGATACACTGAAATGCTTTATCGACTCGGGAAGCGTGTACTTGTTTATATCGATAATGTATTACTGCTCAGTGTGATAGTATAGATAACGGACTGACTCTGCTCGACTCTGTTCTAGAAAACTAACAAAAGCCGGGTTTTAAATTAATTTGCGTAAGTGTAACTTCTTTACCACTGAAGTGGAATATCTTGGGAGAACAATCGGTAATGATCAGGTACGGCCGAGCGCACAAAAAATAGTTGCCTTAGATCTCCAGAGACCTGTGAAGCCTTCTTCGATTGCAAGTTTATTTTGTTTGTTTATAGCCACCTTGTCCCGAAGATTCAATCAAAACCCCGTTCAGTTAATTATTTAACTATCTTAAAAACATCCTAACATTTACAAATTTTCATATCGGTAATAAGTAAGTACTGTGCTGTTTGACTATTTTTAACCCTTTAAGCCTGATTATGACAAAACTCGTCACGTAATCTACTGAAAATACATTGAAATGTCTAGATTAGCAATTGTGAACTCGTGTAAGACCTTGTGTGGCATCGAGTGTTCCTGTGCTCCTCGTATAAGGCCTTGTGTGGCATCGAGTGTACTTAAATCCTCGTATAAGGCCTTGTGTGGCATCGAGTGTACTTTTAATCCTCGTATAAGGCCTTGTGTGGCATCGAGTGTACTTTTAATCCTCGTATAAGGCCTTGTGTGGCATCGAGTGTACTTTTAATCCTCGTATAAGGCCTTGTGTGGCATCGAGTGTACTTTTAATCCTCGTATAAGGCCTTGTGTGGCATCGAGTGTACTTTTAATCCTCGTATAAGGCCTTGTGTGGCATCGAGTGTATTTATAATCCTCGTATAAGGCCTTGTGTGGCATCGAGTGTATCTATAATCCTCGTATAAGGCCTTGTGTGGCATCAAGTATCTTTAATCCTCGAGTAAGGCCTTGTGCGGCATCGAGTGTACTATTGGACCCTATATATATGAAGCCTCTTAAGGCGTTGGACTACTATACTAAATCATGCGTAAAGCCTTGTGTGGTAGCATGATTTCTTATAGATATGAATTTCCAACTTTGGTTTATGGTTTACAGGCTATGAAGATTTGGCATCGACCGCCTCTCGACAGCAGTCCGAACCCTATCAGAAAGACCTACAGTTTGGACTAAGCTAGATCGAGAACCAGGTGGAACAGTCGTGTCCAGAAAGCATCGGGGACGCTGCTTCGTCAGGAGAGGCCGTGTTAGCGGTATCCCCTACTCGAGTCTCCCCACCGCTCGCCGCAACTATAAAAATGGACGAAAACCAACGGATCGGCCATTTTGTTGTCAGACGCGCGCTCGAACACATCTCTGAATATATTAATGTCGTACCTTTTTCAAATTATTGTTAGACTGAGATCTTGTATAAATTGTTCTATTTAATTATACGAATTATTTTGGTGTTTGTTATATTTTTTATTTACAATAAGATTTATTGCTAAATATATATATATATATATATATATATATATATATATATATATATATATATATATATATATTCTTTATTGCATTCATAAGTTACATAATACATTTATAAATGTTGTGAGCAAGGGTGGATTTATCTTTATTTTTTTATTCAATTTAGAATGGCAAACAAGCTGACGGCCCACCTGAAGGAAAGTGGTAACCGTCGCCTATAGACATGAGCAGTACCATGGACAGAGTATACTGTTTCGCCCATAATACCCCCATGCGTTGCCATTCCTGAGAACTCAGATGTTATTCCTCTGTACCCAGTAAGTTCACGCCATATCTCACCCTTCAAACCGAAACACAGCCATGCAAACACAACTGCTTCACGGTTGAAACATGAATAGGACAGAAGTACCCAAGCATTCGACTTTTGTACAAAGTCTCCCTCTGGTAAAAGTCTCAGTCTATCTCTGACAGAGACCGCTTCTAGTCAACACAATACTATTTCTAGTCAACACAAGTGAGAAAGCATATCGTTAGAGGGCAGTTGAAGTAATAATGTAATTTTAATAATTCTTGAAACTCTATATTTTTTTTTTTTTTTTTTTTTTACAACACAGGGGGCAAACGAGCATGCGGCTCACCTGATGGTAAGTGACTACCGCCGCCCATGGTCACCCACAACACCTACGGCATTGCAGGTGTGCTGCCGGCCTTTTAAAAAGGAATATGCTCTTTTCTTGAAGGTTATGTTGTCGTATCGGTTCGGAAATACTGCTGCTGGAAGTTGATTCCAAAGAGTGGTTGTGCGTGGGAGAAAGTGCCTTGAAAAACGCACGGTGGAGGACCGCCACTCGTCCAGATGGTTGGGATGAAATTTTAGTTTATGGCGGGTTGTACGATGGTGAAAATCTGCAGCAGGTATCAATCCGAACAATTCTTCAGAGCACTCCCCATGATAAATTCGGTAGAAGATGCACAGAGATGCAACATCTCTACGCAGTTTCAGTGGGTCGAGCCGGACAGTAAGACGCCGATCGTCAACAATTCGAGCTGCCCGACTTTGAATGCGGTCTAACAGAAGGAGTTGGTACTGTGGCGCTCCTGCCCACAGGTGAGAACAGTATTCCATGTGTGGCCTCACTTGAGCTTTATACAGTTTCAGGCGGTTTTCTGGCGTGAAATACCGTCTCACCCTATTGAGCACCCCCAACTTTTTGGAAGCTATCTTAGCTTTTTCCTCCAGATGACCGCAAAACTGGACGTCGCTAGATATATCGACGCCAAGAATCCCCAGACTCGACTTATTATCAAGGGAAGTGCCCTGAAAGTGAGGTGATACGACAAACGGTGTCTTTTTTTGCGGTGAACGCGCAGACTTGTGTCTTCTTAGGGTTAAAGTGAACAAGATTGCGTTCACCCCAGATCGAAACTTTATCGAGTTAAGTTTCGATTTCAGACACAAGTCTGTTCCGGAGCTCATCGGTATGTGCCCGCGAGATCTTTGCATGACCGGTGTATAATGCATCTCCTGTACTGTCGTCCGCATAACAATGAATATCACTGATCTGTAACATATCATTGATATGCAGAAGAAACAGTGTCGGAGATAGTACACAGCCTTGCGGGACACCAGCATTCACAGGTTTTAAGTCAGAGCATGCTCCGTCGACTACGACCTTAATGCTACGTTCCTTAAGAAAGCTGGCGACCCAATTGCACAATTTCGCAGGCAACCCAAACGAAGGTAGTTTTGAGATTAGTGCCCTATGCCACACCCGATCAAAGGCTTTCGCAATATCCAGACTAACAGCTAAGGCCTCTCCCTTATTCTCGATTGCCACTGCCCATCGGTGTGTTAAATAAACTAAAAGATCACCAGCCGAGCGTCTCCGTCGAAAGCCGTACTGGCGGTCTGAGATCAGCTGGCGATCCTCTAGGTACCGGAGCAGTTGATGGTTAATAACTGATTCCATGACTTTCGAGAATAAGGAAGTGATAGCTATGGGCCTATAGTTAGCTGGATCTGAGCGGTCTCCTTTTTTAGGGATCGGATGCACCAAAGCAGTCTTCCAAAACTTTGGGACTATACCTGATGAGTAACAGAGCCGAAAAAGACGCGTAAGAACCGGAGCCAACTCTGGTGCGCACGTCCTTAGCACAATTGGAGGAATGCCATCGGGCCCGCTCGACTTATGGATTTCAAGGGAGAGAAGTGCTCTACGCACTGATCTTTGCGTGAATTTAACATCCGGCATAGAGCTCCTACAACGCGGGATGGTCGGCGGTAGTTTCTCCCCGTCATCCAACGTCGAGTTTGATGCAAAGAGAGATCCAAGGAGATCGGCCTTCTCTTTGGCGTTCAGAGCCAACGAGTTATCCTCCCTGCGCAATGGTGGAAAAGATGACTGACAGAAATTCCCTTGTGCAGCTTTGGCAAGAGACCAGAAAGCTCGAGATCCCGAAGGTAAACTAGCCAATCTCTTGCCAATTCTACCAATATGCTCTGACTTCGCTGTGGCCAAAACTCTTTTGAAGGACCTAGAGGCAAAGTTATACTTCTTTTTAAGGGCACTCATGTTAGGATCTCGCGATGCCACACCTTTGGCCCAGGCTAGGAAGCACTCCTGTTTCAGGCGAGATGCTATTCTACAAGAGGCTCCATACCAGGGCTGGGATTTCCCACCGACAGGTACCACAGAGTTAGGAATAAATAATTCCATTCCCTGAAGCACCACATCGGCGATGGAATCGGCGATGGCGTTGGGATCCCCCAGTGCGAAGCAAACCTGCCTCCATGGGTAAGATGCGAAAAAAATCCGCATCTCATCCCAGTCTGCCGACCTGTAGTGCCAAACACGACGTCTACCCGTAGAACGTGGTGGAATCGGACTCATGAGAGGCACCTCGCTCCGCACCAGACAGTGATCCGACGATCCAAGCGGAGCTTCGACGGAAATCACATAGTTGTCTGGGTGGGTGGTCAGCAGAAGGTCCAGCAGTGAAGGTGTATGGTCCAACACATCAAGTATTCGCGTGGGCGAGGAAACAAGCTGCGTCAGACCATAAGCCAAAGCAAAGTCATGAACAGTTCTTCCCGCATAGTCGGTTGTACGTGAACCAAGCCATTCGGTATGGTGGGCATTAAAATCGCCAAGAATCACGACTTCAGCGGAAGGAATCTGTTCGAGCAGGGAATCTGTAGCCATTTGGACGTGCTCAATGAGTTGGTCGGTTTCGATGTTACCGCTGTGGGACCTGTATAGGCATGCATAGACGCGAGGATGGTCATTGCAGTCTACACGCAGCCATAAAATAGACAGGTCCGTTCCTTCAAGAGTTCCAAGGCGGCGACAACAGATATCCTCTCTGACATACGCGCATACACCGGCACGCGAAACAAAACAATGTTCAAGTTTATAGCCCGGGTACGTCAGGTATGAAGTTTCGTTTGGAGAGGACATCTGTGTCTCCGTTAGAAAGAGCAATGCCGGCCGCGCCGTTTCTAGGTGGTGGTGGACAGCGTTTAGGTTAGAATGTAATCCCCTGATGTTGCAGAAGCTCACATTGAGCGAAGGGGATGCCGTAGAAATCTTGCTCCGTTTGCCCTTGGTTCCAAAGAGCGGAATTTTGCCCCCCCCAGAATACGCAGGGCAGCCCGAGCGTGGTTGCTCGAGGGAGGATTCTCCAGCAACATGGTTACTGGTACCTCCCTGGGGTATGTTATTTTTTTTTAATTCCACTGCCATGGTTGCGTGTTGTAAAATAGGGGGACGGGGTTGGGGAAAGGATTTTAGGAATAGGAAAGTGATGGGTTTGGGATGGGTATGGGATGGGCCTCCGGACTCCCTCACTCACCATACGGAATGTGATCGCACTAAAAGTGCAACCACTTAGCGTCGGTATTCTGTGAGGGTGTGGTACTTCCCCGGTCGAGCCGGCCCATTCATGCTGCAATACCATATAGGATTACAGCGTGGCTCTACCACAGTCAAAAACTCTATATAATATAATATGAGAAGCTTTGTCCAGTATTTTTTTTACCATTAGCTGTACTATATACTATCATAACCTTTTTTTAGTTAATAATGAAATCCTAGTTCAATTAATCGTACAATAGTTAGCAATGAAGCACTGGCTGGCTGCCAGCGCAGGCAGTTAGTCTGCACATTTGTCTAAACGTGGATATATAGAGTTTAGATAGAGTAATGTTAACTGGCAACCCCTTATAGTCAAGCGTGGTGTAAGGTGTTTTAATAAATGGGGTGAAGGCGTCAAATGTTATTTTTGCATAAACATAAGTATAATTATAAGTTTGATGTTGTAAAAATGTAGTTTTTATATTCAGAAATGAATTTTTTTTTATACAACTTAGAATGGCAAACAAGCTGACGGCCCACTTGATGGAAAGTGATAACCGTCGCCTATAGACATGAGCAGTACCATGGACATAACAGAGTATACTGTTTCGCCCATGATACCCCACCATGCGTTGCCGTTCCTGAGGACTCAGGTGTTATTCCTCTGTACCCTGTAAATTCACGCCATATCCCACCCTTCAAACCGAAACACAGCCATGCAAACAGCTGCTTCACGGTTGAAACACGAATGTATAAAGAACAGTTTATGGCTGAAATGGGACTAGCAATGATATTGTATTGATTATTTGAATGACTTACTAAATCATCATTATCAAATAGAAATTAAAAAATAAAGTTTATTTATTAAAAAAAAAATTAGGAGAATTCTTTTTAAAATAGTATCAAGAAACATAAAAATAAGTTGTGATAGAATTTATAACTGAAATATGATTCATTTCCTCTTATCGGAGTGTTTTTTTTTTGTTGGGTGAAAATGGATTGGTAACTCCGCCTGCGCTAACGGGATACGCTGGCGAAGCACCAGTGAAGGGTGATAGATGAGAATGAAAACAGGCCAGTTAGCCCATCATGATGAATTCATCAGGAATCAATCATGATAGTTTCC